ATCCTCGATTAAATACTGCAGAAATGCAAAATCAGCATGAGGAAATCGCTGAGTATCAAAGAAAAGAGCTTCGTCTATCTGACTGCGTCCTCTACGGACAGAGCCTTTCAGTGCTTTTGCAACGTCAAGACAATGCTAGAAGGGAGTTGGGAGCCTCACTGCGCCTCTTGACGCCTCAACATACACTTGCAATTGTGATTGTGGACGATGTGGAGGGGAGGGAGAGAAGCGGCATGGATCTCTTCGTGGAGTACGCAAAGAAACTCGGCTTCGGCACTGAGGCGCCTCTGACTACAGCACCGATGAATTGGCGAATTTGGCACGTAAAAGATGGTAGTCTTCACCCTACGGACCGCAGAGACATATTCGAGTGGCTGTGCCAAGATGTGATTTGGAGGAGAATGCAAGAATCTATTGTCTGAGTGGTCGACGACCTAGCGATGTGCTGCAATGTGAGGCGGTTTGTTGATTGACTCGATTGTCAGAATAGGGGACCATGTTGACACGAGACCTAGTTCTTGTGTGGTGGTGGTGGTGGTGAGGCGACTGTTTCGTTGCACACCTGTGCTGAGTCATAAGGGGAAGTGTGGGCAGACGAGCAGTGGGAAGGTGGGATGGAGTGGGGCTGTCACCTAGGCCTCATGACTTCCTGCATGCGTTAGTGTAGGGAAGAGAGTGGGTGTCAGTTGGGGGTGGTGAGAAGTGGAGGTTGAAATGGGAAGAGTGTCGCTCAACAGCGCACCTCCTTCTCCTTCCTCCTCCAACTGTCTGTCTCTTATCAAGTGCTACGCACTCCAACTGAAATGCGTCAGACATGCTGCGAAACAATGGGGAGAGCTGTTAGGATTGGTTTCAGTGCTGTCCTCGTTGGAGACTGATTGCAGTCACTGTCACTGCATTCCTTTCATTTCCTGGTTTGGCATTCTGTGCCTCGTCGAATGGCGGCACGTGATTAGGTAAGGCACGGCACCTTCTCCAAATCAACACCTATCTATTCAAACCACCTTCGGCCCACACCTCCTGCCCACCAACGATCGCCTCACCACACCCACTGCCCACACCACTCCCCCTGGCTTGCCTCCACTCTTCCCTGCTCCAATTTATAATAACCATTCTCCACACCATCACCACGCACGCACATGTCATCCTCCTTCCTTGCATGCCCACCGTCTCACACACTCTCCCACGCCTCCACTCCTCCAACCTCCATATTCCCCAACAACTCTCCTTCTCCACCCACTCCACCTCACGTTGTTACAAACACTCACTCCTCCCTCCAAAATGCCCACATGCACCCATCTGTGCCACCTTGAGCCAAATGCAATTACACTGCCCCAATCACCGCATCAGTCTCGTCGCATGCACGCACATCGTTGCGGATGCTTCCCACACAAGGTCACTCCAGTGAGAATTGGCAATCCAATGTCAGCACTTCGAAAAGCCACTTTTGTTCTCAGAAGTAAGGCTGTGGTCGAACGGTCATCCTCGCGACAACAACTTCCTGTGAGGCAAGTTGAATGAGTTGGAAACAGTGGCGCCCACTGACGTTAACTCACTTCGCCCTCATGCGCCAACCACGCCTAATTAGCGTGAATTCGACACACCGCTCGACGGCCCGAATGACACAGTAAACTGTGCGACACCTCCACCATTATAAGATGCCATCACCTACATCGCAAATGGAGGAGGAGGAGGAGGAGGAGGAAACGCAAAAGTGCATCCGATGTAGACTGTTAGTCTGACGTGGAAAAGCGGCTCCTTGTTCGGTGTCCGATAAGGTTAGAGTCACTGTGACAAAGCGTTGCGGTGCACCAAATTGTGTCAGCTGCGAACCAACGTGGTCGAGTGAGGCGAAGAGGAGGAGTGCTCGCATCATCACAGAGGCACAGGACACAATGCACAATGCAGGTGGGTTGGTCCTCTTGTAAGCATGAAATTGGGGTGTGCTCAACGTATGCTGTTCGCCTTCACCTACCTTCCTTCTCTCCTTCCCTCCTTCCCCTTCCTTTGTGGTTCCGTCTCACTTAATTCGCACCACCATTATCAGCCTTCGTTACACTTGTTGGAGTTATTTGCTGCTCTCAACAGCATGTCTGTGCAACGCCTCTCTGCCTCGAGCTGGTCCAACTGCAGAGAGGTGAAGCCTGCAACGATGCGTCATAAATGGACCCTTGCGTGAGTTGATGCGTAAGCCTCAGAATGCGCTCCTTCACATCGCCTTGGTGTATAATCAGTTTCTGCCGAGTTGGTGTCTCGGTGATGTGTTGGGAATGCGTTACTGATGGGGTGATAGATTTAGCAAGTCAACATTTGTCTGCTGACATGACTCGCCGCAAGTACATTGAGGCTTTCTAAGTTAAGCGCGGTGGTTGCAGCCACCTTGATTGGTGACTCTCAGGCTTACCGATGGTTTGGCCATTATGACATGCAAATGCCGACGGAAGCATGCTGGTGTTGTGAAGCACGATAGCGAATGACTGCGCCGAGGTGGTCAATGACTTGCAAATCTACCAGATAATTCCACGTTTCTTCATTAGATCAGTAGTAAGTGTAGCCATGTGAACGTAAGTGCCACGCCTTTTTCTTTGACGTGTCGTCTGTAACCTGCTCACAACACTACACAATGTGCAAGCCACTGCTGGTATAGTACCATTGTGATTGCTGAGCTATTATTTTGTTTTCTTTTTTGGTGGCAATGGAAATGAAGTTGGGAAATAAGGGCGTTGTAAGCCTAAGGAAATTCAACGCTGAAGTTAATTTAACTGCCACAATCACCTCAACATTTGCACTCTCCGCCCATAGACAGGCAGACCGAGTTGTCATCTATCCACTACACACTAGCCACGCTAAACTGTGATACGAGTAAGGCATGCATGCTAGCATCGTCGTGTTAGGCGTACGAGTATGCAACGATGGATGGAATGAGTCAAGGATTATTTTCCGTTTAGCAGCACTTGCAAGCTCTTGATAACTTTGCGCTATTTGGCTGGAGCCATCCTTCCTTAGAGAAATGCAAGCTTGTGAAGTGGTGGGGAAGGTCAGTTGTGATGCGCACTCCTTCAAAGTGACGCCGATGGAGTGGCATGAGGTTATCGTCATCACTGATGGCGGTCTCACTAATGCACCTAAGCGGACTTTTGTTGTGATCTCACGACTCGGAATGGGAACAATCGTCACTGAGGTACTGCATGCCTTATCAACTTTGGCACAAGCTGAGCCCGAGGCGACCGCACAATTCCTCACCCTGATTCCCACTTATCAAGATACGGTTGGCATCTGCTTCCATTCGTTGTGTCCACTTTAATGACCACTTGATGATGACGTCTCACACAACTTTACAATCGCCTTGCTCACTGCTGCACACGCATCTACCATGGAGTCCCAACCAAGTGATGACAAAACGCTGAAGCGAATGCCTGACGGCGCCATTTTAGTGCTCTTCAACCAGCATCGCCGCACAATCAAGAGACACGTTGGGAGGCCAAGATGCATGGTTTCAATGGCAAACGGGCGCGCTTTGGCATGTCGCATGGCCGGTATAGACTAGGCTTGACTGCTTGTGTGGGTGCTGCCCAGTCCGCATGCCATCTCATCTCATCCACTCATTCATTCAGTTACGCTACCCGCAATTTCTACCGCCTACCAATTGACATCGACTGCAGTGTCACTGTAAGCGCAATTGAAGAGCAGCTGACGCTAATCCAATGGCTGCTACGAATAATGTGACTTCTTGCACGCTTATACGTGTTGCCACGTGGGCGAAGTGTTCTGACACGTAAAGGTGGCCATCAGGAGAACAGTGAAGTCGCGGTCTCGTCTCAGATCTGTTTGTTTCGGTCAGCATCAGCATTGAGATGGGTCAATTCAATTGCAAATGAGTGCATTTCACTCACCTTGTCTGCCTATAAAGAAAGAAAGAAAGAAGGAAGGACCACATTGGGCCGCCGACGTGGGGGGAGGGCATTCGATACCTCAAACGGACACTGTGTCCCGCTTCATCCTCCTACTCAACGATAAGACAACGCTTGCAAGCACCACCAATCCCTGAGTCACAACCAAGTGGTGACGAAACGCTGAAGCGAATGCCTGACGCCGCCATTTTAGTGCTCTTCAACCAGCATCGCCGCACAATCGCGTCTCATCCTTGGTCCTCTTGTCACAAGCACTGCAACAGAATGCTCTTCTGGAATTGTCCACAAAATGATGCACAATTTTGCTGCCCATTCAGGGAGCGTTTTTGAAGTTGGCCCTATCATATGTCAATTGCGATCCAAGCAAATGCACAATGTGTAGAAAAAAGGCACTGCCACTGCCGAGGGATGGCATTAGTGCATTACCTCCGTCAAATAGTAAAATTCGACGCCTCCTTATTCCTTCCACGTCGTGCTGCATACATGCGCATGTCGATGGCATTTCAAGGCTGAGATTTAAAGGACGCACAATTGGCCGAATGTTGAGCTGTCAAGTACATTTTGCTCTGCTCAAGAATATTCCTGAAGGATGGCATATGCATTCTTGTTTACAATGTGTCGTGCAAAAATGTACACATTATTCCGGAGGTGCAGCAGCAGCAGCAGCAGCAGCAGCAGCTTTAATCTCAACACCGCCAGTCTGTGTGTTTAGCCTCTCGTGCTAGTGAATGATCTGTTGGTTGAGCTACTCTAAGCGACAGATCCTGGAGGAGGTGGGTGACTTGCTCTATGACTCCTGTCCATCCACCA